TCATAGCTTATTATTGAGCGCGTGTACAGCTGTAATTAACCAACCATAGGTTGTTATGAAGCGCGTGCCTATAGTAGATAACTATATAAACCCTGTTATATGCATGAATAAAGGAGTGACACCATACTCATATTGGGATCTGTCATTACTCTGGAATCGCACTCCCGCTCCGCCGTCGACTGAACAAAGGGAAACTCCGACAAAGTTCAGCCACTGAATATGTGTAATATTGTGTAATTTGTAATAACCTACAAGAATAGAACTAATGCAGAAAAATGTTATCAAGATAAAGTGGCTATTATACAATAAAGGAGTGACTATTAGACTGTAAAGAAATTATCTATAAAGCATTCTAATTATTTAATGATCTCACCTGGTCTCCCTGAAACTGCTCTGGTAACCTCCAGTAAAATGTTTCTGTATTTAAGTATTTTCTGACTATGGCAGCATCCAGTAAAACATCAGGAAATTGTGAAAATACTCCTTCCACTGTTCCAGTCAGGTTACTTTGAGCTACTACATGCAGAATGGACTGATCTGGAGTTAAGGTTATCTGCAACACAAAGAGCAAAAGATTCATTCAACAAAAATATTCTATGTCAGTATAATATACTGTTAATAGTTTTAGCTGCTTTGAGATAGTCAATAGCCCACCTTAGAGTAATAAATGCCCAAACCAAACAATTGGGAAACATGTTTGATATTTGGGGTTTTTTTTTAAAGTGAAGGGTGAAACACAAGGTTTCAGAAATAAGACGATGACCACTTACCATTTGCTTTCTTTTTTGTGCTGCCATATGCCACTGCCTCCATAAGCTAGCCAATTACATTCAGCCTGATTCATGAAATGTATGCAACATTAGGCACACCAGTGTGGTACCTAACATGAGGATAACACCAAACTGTGTCTGTATATCTATGTCACTTTACTTACAGGAATTCTCACATGATCTTCTAGTTCCGAACAAAATGTGGACATCCCAAAACAGAAGCACGGAGTACAACCTAGTGCATTGTTAGCAGACAGAGCAAAAGTTCCAGGTTTACACTCGCTGCATTGTAGACCAAATACATTTTCCTGGAGGAAATAAAAAAAAAACATAACAGCACACTCATGTTACTTTGCTAGCTGAATGAAAGATAGTTCTTTTTGGAAGAAAAACTAGTTGCTACCTAAACTACATAATAGGAAGTCAATTATTATATCTGTTCTATTTTATTATTCAGTACATAATTGTTTCATTATTTTCCAATGCTGGGTTTTTTTTTTTTTAAAAAAAAACACCACCACGGAACATTCAAGCTAAACTCATGTATTTGAATTTCTAGCAATACATTTCAACTGCTCCGTATGAATAGGAATCAGGGGACCTATTCCCAAGTGTCTGTTTTTGCACTCAATTCTCAACTGGTAAGTCCAACTTGAAGAAACACCCAAAACTACAGTCAGTGCCCACTGGCACTTTTAACCGGAAGATTGGAGAGAGACCTATGAAGGCATACATTCATTGTCTTGAAGTAAGTTCTTTTCTATCACTCAGTCTTTCAAGAACAGATTCCCACCTTTTCAGAAAAATCTATACTACTAAATCTCTGTATTTAATGTTTCCTTTTTTTAGAATGGAATGTCAATTCAGACTTCACTATCAGCAATATACGTGATATTCTTAAGCATTGCCTTTGGTTATAGCATAGGAAACAAATTTGAACTTGCAACATAACCACATTTAAAAAAACATTAAGATTTTCCATTTTGTATTTATTGGTTTCTTCCTATCATCATCATGTGGATTTTCAAAAGAGCAGGCTATATCATCTGAATCAATGTGCTGTTCCCAAACCTAATAAAACCATGTGTGTATGAGCAGAAAAAACTTCTCTGTATTTCATTTTTTCCATTTGTATAATGAGGCTAAGAATATAATAGCTTTTTCACGGGAGTTTTCTAACATTTAATTAGTTTTTTTAAAATGCTTTCACGTCTAGGATGGAAGAAGCTGTAGAAGTGCTGTCTATCTATCTCTACACAGAGAATGAAATCATTCATTGCCAAAACAGCACGTAGGGAATTTATGCTTTTAAGTTAAGAAAAAATCAACCTTTTTATCAGAGATTATCTGCTCAGAAACTTCAAGATAATATCAATTAATGTGACCTGCACTCAGAAGTGCAACTCTTGCAGCAAAGTATTCCTAGACTCTATGAAGGAATAGTTTTCCCTGGCTTGAGGTAGAAACATTTTCTCTCTATTGCTCATTGCATCAGAATACTTTTATCTATTACAGCTGGTTCTTCTCCAATGTTCTATGTGTACTGAGAAAAAAACCCACTTTTAAACAGCAACTAAGAAATAATGCATATGAGTTATGAACTATTATTATTGGAACTATTTGCAAGGCAAAATGCAATTGTAGAAAAAAGCAAGTGGGATAAATAAAACATGTAAAAATTGTACCATTAAAAATGGTTCGTATGGCATTGTCCTTGGTATCAGAAGGCATTTACATCATACAGAGCAATATAGTGACACTGAAGTCATGAGCACCATTCTCATACATTTAACAAAATTTTTAAAAATTTTGTCCCAGAACTCACGGCCAGTGCTTTGTCTTATTCAAAAGGAGGCAGACGGAAATTTAGGAGCAAAAGGAAAAGCAAGACAAATGCATCCTCATTCATTTCTACCTTACAATACTAAGCCACGAAAAAGACGACTCTGAATATACTACAAGAATGATGCGGTTACAGAAATTCACTTAATACAGAATAAACACATGGATCCTAAATTCATCAAATGCAATCTATTTGAATTTAGGACTGCAGTGAGACCGTAGTCGTGAAATATGCCAAATTCTGTACAAGACTAGAAAGACACCAGTCATTTTTTCTATCATCAGATGTACAGTGGCTGTTTTGCAAACTTAGCAAGGGTTCAGCATTAGTCAGCTAGAAATTACTCTTTGTGATTAGGCATACAGTGGGTCTTGATCCTGACTTCTTAACACACATGCACATCAAATTCCATGAATTCTGTCTAAAAGAGAACTACAGTACTGTGCCACAATAATTTTATAACCACAAACTGGAAATGAAATTACCTGGCTATGTAAAACAAAACAAAGGGAGGTAGGAGAGACAAACTGTCTAGTATTATCACAGGAATTTCTGAGAACAGAAATGTTGGTAACATTGCTATCTCTTCTGCCTACAGCTGTGTTGTGTCTGTCCAAAGTGGGGAACATCATCTCGCAGTTTTTAACCCCGCTGACTAATAATAAGACCTGTTTAGCACTGGTACAGAAAATCCTTTAGGGGTGATTTAGGTGCACTCAGAAATGTCTCAAAGAAGGGATGCAGATTGTCTTTTGAAGTTCTTTCAGCCCTACATCTTCCATGATTTATGTAATAAATGTCCAGAAAACCCCAATGCTGTCCCAAAAGGGTCTGAATACTTCAGTACCTTGCAGGTACAGATGCCAGTTTCTTCTTCACAACCACAAAGTCCTTCAGTGTCATCACACATCTCCACTTTGGTTCCACTCAAATCACAGTCACAGGCAACACAGTCCGGGTAGTCTCTGTAGCCTAATGCACACCTGGAACAGTCTTGTCCACCAAATTCAACTTTGCACTGGCATTGACCCGTCAGTACATCACATTGGAGACTAGTTGAACCAGTGTTGCTACAGTTGCAAGCCTTAGATGAAAAGAAGAAATGTTCATAAATAGCAGATCTTTAAAAACAATTTTGTTGCAACAGTAAATTTAGAGTGCACATTTAAACAGCACAGTAAATTTAGAGTGCCCTTAAAACTCAATGTTTGTCAACAATTACTATACAATAATAAAAGGAAAGAACTTCCACATAGAAATGGGGTTGTTTGGTTTGTATTTCAACAAAGAACTGCATTTCCAGTGAACAGTGGATGGCAAAAAGTAAGAAGCTTTGTTGATTCCCAAATCTGGGTTGGGAATCAAAGGAGTTGAAGGAACCTGTTCCAGGAAAAAAAATATTCCAAAAGATTTTATTTAAAATACTATGTATTGAGTGCAGCAAGTAAATTAAAATAATGTTATACAAATGTTGGATGAAAGAAATCTGTAAGTACAATAATTTTATAAATATGATAGAAAGAAAAATCGTAATACTGACATTCTTTTAAGATTTCAAGAAGCATTCATAGGCTCTACACCTTGCTCAAGCTTCATTTACTACTTGATGAGGAACCAAGAATCTCATTGCATCCAAAGGTGGGAAGCTCAGCATGCACTGCAGCTCAGTACCAAAGGAATACTAATACTGTTCCCTGGCAGAGCCCATCCTTCATTATCCAATCAGTAATATGAACCTGTTATTACAAATACACAAAGTGGATGTACTTAATTTGTCATTCTTCTTTGAAACAGCTTGGTTCTAATCTTCAGTCTTAATTTCCTATCTGTGGTTACTTAAGAAGTCCAATTTTGCTCTGTGGTTATTTCTAACAGTGCAGGCAAAAAGTACATTCCATCTATCATCACCCGACTGTAAGCATTTTCCCGAGTCTTCTTTCCTCATCATCTCTCCTTGGGATGAAAAGCCTTACCTTGTAAAGCACTCTACACAAAGACCCACAAAATTAGCACCACTATGTATCCTTTTGCATTCTTCACAAGTTTGCTGCTCACCATTAGTACTCTCTGTATTAGGCAGTTTTTACCCTAGCAGCAAGCACTAGGTACTACACTGCCTAGTCTAATACACTTTATGACCAAACAAGTTGACAACTTTGGCTCCCAGATACCATTAAAGGTCTACAGCTCTGAACGTCAAACCCTGTTTTAAGAATCATAATAATAGAAATAATTTACATGTATTTCAATCTCTATCTATATGTGATAAAGATAAATAAGGACGCTAAGGTACAATTAACTGTGCTACAGCACACTTGAAAAGGGTTGTAAGCAAAACATGACTACAGTTCTGCTCCATCGCTGCACCCAGAAATGGATGCTGAATACCAAGAAAACTGCAAGAAATGGAGCCAGATGAAGTATCCCACTAATGCAGTCTGTGTTGCAAAAACAGACCAGCTGGGTTTCTGATAGCATCTCCCCCCCCCTCATTTCATCCATGTAGAGAGCACGCAAGAGCCTTTCCAGGGTTTGCCGGTAGACATTGCACTGGATCTCAACCTGCCACAGCTGACTATTCAGCACAGGGGAGCCTCTGTTGGGACTGTTACCTGCAGATCACAGTATAGTTTGTTGCATCAAGAAAATAACTAAAATACCTTAAGAGTAATTAATGTTAATTACTGTGATGCTGTAACCACAAGGAATGCTGAACAACTTCGCAAAAGTGAGCAGTTACGTATTTAACTAAACTTGATCACTGGGAAGTGCTGTGGAATCACCCTATGAAAGAAACACTTCAAGGGAAAGGCACAGGGACCAGAACATTGTATTTGCAGAACATTAGGTAAGAATGACAGTAGCTGGTAGCTGACAAAGCAGCGGTTTAAAGACCAGCTGCCAAGTAAGTTGCTATAAATCACTAGGATGATAAACTCTGAAGAGATATTACAGGACTATTTTATCATCCTTACTCTAAAAAATTAAAGAGAGAAAAAAGAAAACAATTTGGCCGATACTTGTACTTGTCAAGTACTTACTGCATATAATGACAGACCTTGTCAAGTTGATTATATTTGTGGTTTCTCCATTGAAATTACACATTACATTCATGTAATTCTGAGGCTTTTTAAAATCTCAACATTTATAAAATAAAGATTGGCCCAATGCCATATCTGTCAGGAATCTACTGCATGAACCTAATTGCATAAATGGTTGCTACTCCTTGGATTTGCACCGAGTTGGCAGTTTACTGCTTAATCATAAATATTAAGCTGAGCTAATGGGAGTTACCATTTTTCCATTCATAAAACATTAACTACCTTATACCATTTTGATTTTAAATATTCAGTAAAAAAGCATGCAGTGACTTTCAAGATAAGCTAGATTTCATTGTTCTTAAAACCATAATATCATCACTCCTTGATTAGCACAGAAACTACGTTCCTTGTTGCTAATTGTTGCTATAAATCTGTTTTAGTATTACTATTTAAGCAACTAAAAGGTAGAATACACACTTCAAAGTTTTAATACGATCTATGCACCTATCCAGAGTAGGCACACTGATCAGTATTTTCAAAACCAGCTTTCTTAGAAGGTTCCACAATAAACACTTTACAGACTGATTTTTTTTTTTAATGTGAGCATGTTGCACTAACACTTTGAGACAGAGAATAACGATTGAGGTTCTCAAAACAAGAGTCCAATACTGACATTAGTATAAGGTGAATTGTTTATAACAGCCATGGCTTTTCGGCCAGCATACCATACCTTGCAGCCAAGTTTAGGAGAGAGTCCCCAGTGATTTTCTTCACAGAGTTCACATTTTGGTCCTCGGGTGTGAGGGGGACAAATGCATTGGCCAGAATCAGCATTACAATTGTTCTGAGTATGAGCACAGTCACAGGCTGCAAGAGAAATAGGACCGAATGATTAACTTTATCCTTGCTTTAGATACAAAGAAACTCCAAGACCACTGATAGTCTTACTTTTCTTAGTTATGCAGTACAGTTTATCCATTCCACTAGGAACTCCTTGCCATCCCTAATCATTGAGAATAAATTATGACCACAGTGACATTTAATCTTTTTTATTGAAAGCCCATTATTGCTTCTTGACATAGCCTGTTCGGTGGTTTAAAAAGCAGTGCTGCATTTCCACAGGGGAATCAACAAAGCCAAACAAAATTATTGTGGAGAAGAGTAAATTTGTAGGAAAAAAAATTCTATTATAGAGGATACAAAACTCATCAGGAGATATGATAATGTTCTCAAGCAGGTGAAAGGATTCATCTCAGGAATTAGTACTTTTCAAGAATTGCTTAGTGAATAACAGGGATGGATAACTATTTTTATAATAACTAACTGCTGCATGAAGCACTTGTCTATTTAAGAAATGCAGTACTGTTCTTGCTAAAAAGCAGAAGTTCAGAAAAATGGTTTTATTAATTGTTTTAATAATATTTACAAAATTTTCGAGACTGAAATGGTTAAAGGTACCTAAGGGATCTTTGATTCTTAGTAAAGACACAGTATACATGTTCCAAAACATAATCATATCACATAATCTCACCGCAGATTTCATACTACTATGCTATTTGAGGCATGAAAAAAATGTTTTTCAGGTTGGAGAAAAGGTAGGAATTCCTTTAGCTATACTGTGTTGAAAAGGGCATCTTATTAACATGATAAATTAGGTTTTTTGATAGCATGTTCTCCATTTGGATTAACATTTTCCTCTATATCATGACTAAAAATTGTGCACACCCAGGTGATGATGGGAAAATAGTCAATGACATCAAAGTATAAAAGTATTTTTAAGAATTAAGTGAAAAAACAAGGTAAAAATCTGTAAGAGTAGTCACTCAACTTTTATGATTGCAGAAAAAAAGAAGTTTCTATTCTCTCTGAAAGATTGAAGGCTTTTGTAAAAAGAGACAAAGGAGCTATTGAGGATGCAATATTTCTCTCATGCAACCTTTGTGAGTTGTTATTTCATAGTCACCACCTTTTACAAGGAACCACACAACAAGCTATCAAAGAAATGTTTTGTCCCCTAGCTTAATCAAAGTATTAGGAGACCATTCTACAGATTTTTCCACAGAGTCCTCAAAACAACTGACCTTTGCCAGAGTTTAAGATAAAATATATTGCTGAAAGAAATTCCAGACAAACCCTGAAAAGATCACGGATTAGAGCTTACGTGTGCAGCCACCATCCTGGAACGCATGAAAGCCATGAGCACAACGATCACACTTTTCTCCAGCCACTCCTGGTACACAGTGACACTGCCCCTGATGATTGCAGTCCTCGGAGACTGAGCCAAATTGACTGCAGTTGCAGGGAATGCAGCCAAGCCCAGTAAGCAGGCCATAATAACCATTCTGTTGGACAGGAAGTAAATACATTGAAGCTATATTTCATAAATTTTTGAAAACAATATGATGTACACTCTTATTTTCTCGTTTACTTTCCCTGCAGTCTGACCTGCATGAATATTGGTCAGCACTGTGTGACTGCTACGGGAGGACTCCCTGGCCTTATCTCTTCACTGTTCCCAGCTATATGCAAGTATGCATTTGGGTGAAAGAGTGAACACTGAAACGCTCTCATGGTTCTCTAATCTCATCAGTGAGACTTTATGTTTTAAAGTCTGAGGTTATTTTAATTTAAAGACTTCCATGAGGTGAGGGTGGGCTGTGCTGATCAGGCACAAATTTCTGTGAATATGAATGAAAGACCAGAACAGAGCAGGTCAGTGACCTATGATACATGTGGATTGAAAGGCATTCAGCTGGGCTGGCACAAGGGCAGTAACTGGGCACAGATTACCCGCTCTGGTCTCTGAGGCAGTTCTACACTTAGCAAAGGCTGGAAACTGCGGTTTTGTATCACCAGTGAATATCTACTTGTTCTTATAACAGGCCTGTCTTTTAGCTGAATCCCTTTTTGGCGTTCAGCCATGATGTATTTATTATCACCAGCCACATTCTTCAGATATTCCCACTCAGACTTCATTTTGCAGAAGCACAGCGCTAAGATCCCTTCAGGTCTGTTCAGTTTGTTTTTTCGGTAAGCCAACATGACCGCAGACTGGCAGTGAGAGCAGCACTAGCCTGAACAGCTCTATTCAGAACGGTGCTGAGTCAACTATATAGCTTCACATCTGCAAAGAGCACAGGCAGAGCAACTTGCAACCGCAGAAACCTGGGCAGACAAACCTTCACTCTCCGCTCCAGCAACAGGTCCCCTCTCCCCTGAATATATCTGCTGCTATTCTCTGTATCTGCTCTAATCAGTATCTATAGATAAACGGGAAGACCAAGATACAAGAAAATGTAGATATTAGGAACAGGTAAATATTTGCTTACCAAGCACTTATCACATCTTTCTCCGATCACGTTTGATTTGCACTGACAGAAGCCTGTCTCATGATGGCAAGTACTTGAAAGGGAACCATTCACATGGCACGCACAGGCTTATGTTTAGACAAAAAGAAACCAAATAAAAAAAATGTATTAATGTCTATCTATATGCATTCATTATTATACAGAATTCCCAATTTGGTATATAATGTGTTTTTCACCTGTTTATATCCCATAGACGTTAATACACTACAGTAATACCTGTACTACACATTTGGGCTAAAAGATAAAAAAATCACTTCTGTGAATAGATACATTTGAGAAGTTTGTTTCTTCCAGCCCTGTATGTAACATTCAGAAGTAGGAAATGTCTACAGCAGCTCACTGGAGGGACCCTGTTAAGCAAGCCAGTAAGTTTCAGGAATATGAAGTGTCAGACCCTAGCATAATACATTCCTTCCTCAGGCTAACCCAACCACATAGTTTTCAACCTGCACTTGCCAACTCACAACTTGAAGGTTAACTCTTTCATCAGCAAAGGTGCATATCTCCCCATCCATTCTGCTACACGTACACCACATTTTTGTGTTCTTTAAATTTTGAGAGTAATAATAATAGCTTACCACGACAGCTTTTCTCAATCACTGCATCCCCATAATACCCATCAGCACACTTTTCACAGTGGTGACCTGCTGTGTTCCCCAGACATTTCAGGCATTGTCCTGTGAAGGTATCACAGTGGCCATCTTCTTGAGGGTTTACATTGCCATTGCATTCACAAGGAGCACACGATTGTCCAGGCATGAGTGGGTTTCCATAGTAACCATTAGCACACCTGCACCAGGGATTAAAAACTTTATCAGCTGGAATGCAGTCATGTCAAACACTCTCCCCACCCAAGGGAGTATTTCCTATTAAATTTTTGTCTAAAGTGTCTCTGTATTACAAGCAAAGACAAAATGGGAAGGAAGATTTTATTAGGAATGTTCTGTACATGTGGTATGAACAATTCAAGGCAGGTAGGATGATGAACAGTTAGTGATGGCAACGATATAGATATTTTACCCAAAGCTACTGTACATACCTTTCACACTGAGAACCAGTATAGCCTGGAAGACATTTGTCACAGACAATTCCACCTCCTTCACTCAGCTGGCAAGTAGGACTGAAACTATCAACAACATTTATGGCAGTCAGTATCAATACACAGAATCACAAGACTTCTACAAACATTCAGTATCCACCCTTCAAGTCCATGCACATATCCATCTATATAACCATGTAATTGCAATTCTTTCTAGATTAACATCAATGCTTTAAACATTACAATATGTCAAAATAAAGCTATCATTTTCAAAAACTCTTCTTGGGGTTTTTTTCTTTTAAAGGAAAGGAAGATTTTAAAACTTCCTAAAAACCTGGCCCTTTTTCTACCAAATCTGTCCAATTTCTGTACCGAGCGCCTTTTTCACATGCAACACTTCTGTCCTTCTGTTGTTTTCTGAAACAACATGAAAGATAACGGTGATTTTGCTGCCAAGTTCAAGGATAGGTTGAAGCATTACTTTCAACCTTCACATACAAATTGCGCCAGTTCATTCAGCCTGTCTTAGCTTAGTCTATACATTTGTCTACCTGGAAAAACAATGTTTCTATGAGATAAGGTCAAATGAAGATGGAGAAAAAAAGTCCTTCTCTCTCTCCTTCAGATTTCACGACATTTTTTCTTTATCTCACTTTCTGATTTTGCTGAAGATGCAAAAGAAAATCTCACATAAGCAGCTTACTTGTTTGTAGCAGAACTCAGAGGACATGCACAGGGCTGGCAGTCCTCAGAAGTTCCTTGGGATGGACTTCCATAGAAGCCAGGCAAGCACTGATCACAGAAAGGTCCTGTTGTGTTGTGTTGACAAGCCTGTGAGACATGGAAAAAATCTTTTCGCATTTACTCTTGATGGTTTTTCAGCCCCTGAGGGATCCCTGCAGGAGTCTGCATGCAGTATAACAGTCAAGGAGACAGTCATGAAGAACAGAGTAGAACTTTGAAAATAAGTGGGGGTTTTTCCGAGTTGTAACAACAAAACCTCATTGTTTCTTTCCTACATTTTAGAATATATGTTATACCATGAAACCAGCCACATTACTTATACACAAACTTAAACATATTTTGCACATTGCACACATTTGCAGTGACAAACTTCTTATCTATTTCTTACTGGTGTTTAGACATTTTATTTCTGTGACCTTTAAATTTCAGAAAAGCTCTGAGAGCTAAATTTTCTCCTCAGAAGGTAATGTGTAATTTCCACTGATGTCAGCCACGGCAGATGCACATATATCCAAAAACAGATATTCACCCAAAACACTGCTTAATTATGATCCTTTCAGGAAAAGTTTTATTGTCACCTGCAGCAAGCAAAGTTAAGATTTTTATCAGCCAGTATATGGTGACATTTTTATTTTAGTTCTGATTATTCCCCACTTGAAATGATAAACTGAAACAAACCGTTTATTGTAGATCAATTTAATGGAGCCCCCTGAATGTATTTTGAAGTAAACAATGAAAAGCAAGAAAAATAAACACTTGGTACCCATAGCTTGAAATTTATGTACAGTGTAAACTTGTCTCCCACAGCCAAAATGCTCTCCTAATTCCTAAATAGATGCTTAAAACACAAACACTTTGAAGGATGACTTACAAAGCAAACACCATGAATATCACACTCAGTTGCATGCCCATTGCATTTGCAGGGTTGACAAATACCTCCAAAGAGTATTCCATCCACACGGTAGTACCCAGGGAGACAGGACTGAAAAGAAACGAGGGGAAAAAAACAGTAGCATTATGTGTGTTAAAAATACACATCAAAACATTTTCAAAGAGCCCACTTCTGACCACCCACCATCTGATTCATTCACATTGTGGTAACTGAATGCTCTTTCAACTCTATTGATGTCACTGCAGCTCTCTTCTGGTGGTTGTTTTTTACTTGCACTGGATAAAGGGGATAAGAATTAACTCCAGAAAACTTTGATTCAGCACTTTGTGCCCTGGAGGCACATAAGTTTTGTGCAGTCGAATATGTGAAGTTCTTTATTATGGGACAATAAAAAACAGATGTTCTACCTCCTCTGCAGAATCATTAATGATGCTATGGCACAAGGTTTCACCCTGAAATTATTTGTCAGAATAATTCCTGCTATTCTGCATATGGTGCTCTGCCTCCCTAATCTTCTATTCACAGATATATAAGACACCACCTTGCAGGACACATTTGACCCTTGTGGGATCTTCCAAAGGCTAGCATTCCTCCCTGCTAAGATTCCTTATTGCCTCCATAAACCTAATGACATAAACCAGAAATAAACCATATACGATTCAGAACCAGGAAAAGTACTATTAATGAGTAAGGTAAGCTTGAAACAGCTTCACAGAGCTTTTACAGCTGCTCCCTCTGCAACACTGGTGTTCTAAAGTATATCATCATCTTTTAGTGCCACCAAATAGAATTCAAGAAATAAGTTTAAAATCCCATTTAGTGTATCTACAGCATTGCGTACAGTACAGTAGACAGCATTTCACCACAGAACATATACTTTTATGGCAGTATAAATTAAAGGCAGCCTGGCTTTAAAACCTAGATCCTTTCAGATAGGAGATAATTTTGTATACAAAAACACTGTAAGAGGTTACCTCACAGGATATTCCTGTGTAACCTTGAGGACATTCACAGAATTCCACATCTGGTGCTGAAGAAAGATCTATAACATTTGCACTTGCAGTATCCAGGGTCACAGAATCCAGCCTAGGATCAAGCATGAAAACATCACATCATTTGTTTCCCCAAACTTGATTTTGAACAGGGTAGTTTGCTTCTAGGGGACTAACACTGCTGAGTGCCGCTCCCTGGCAGTGACAGCTGAGGAACAGGCACAAATCTCTGCTGTAAAAAGACTATGATCATAGTCTTATCACTGCATTTGCAATTCTGGGAGTAGATGTGCCCTCCTCCTGTTATCATTATTGTTACTCCATTGTCTCTTCTCCTGTGGAGAGGTTTAAACAAAACCTTCCCCCTCTGTCATGGTATTAGAGGTATATCGGTATACTTTATTCCTGTGTATCTTGGAGAACGGGTAAAACAGAGATCTGCAAGGACTGATGCAGATACTGCTAATGCTGACTTGAATCAGAATGGAATGACCGGTTAATCCATTCGAGCCCAATTTTCCTATTAAGCACTCCCTTAGAGAAGAGCGTCAGTAACATCTACAAACAGACATTAGAAGAAGTTACAGCCAACGTCTTTACTGGCAGGTTTTCAACAGTCAGTGATGGATTAACTTGCCACACACCAAAATAAGCACACTGTTTTGAGAGTTTTGGAGTATCTCCCTCTAACAAAGCTGCCATTGTAATAAGGCTTTTATGCAGTATTTCTTTAAAGCAGAAAACAATGTTTCTGCTATCAGATATCTTTAAAATAACCAAATGCCCTTTTTCACACATTCCACATGAATGTATTTGGAGGACAAGACCAGTCTTGAGAAAATTCAATAAAAAAAGTTTTTTCTAGAAATTGTTAATGTAAAGCTTTAGGAATACTACCACTATGAATAGTGTTTCATATGCACAAAAATAATAGAAGGATATAGATTAACTTGAATATTTTCTCTCCCTCACCTGTACACGGCTTTTTTGGCAATGTTGTAGTTAGC